CGGGGTGGTGGGGGGGAACGGGAGAGTGTCCCGCCGCCATGTCAGGGGGTCCCCACGCGCGGAGCCGTTGGAGGGAAAATCGGGTGGAAAACGCTTAAAAAATATAAAAATCCTGTAAAAACGAGGCCTCTTCACCCGATTCTGTCCCCCCTGCTGCCCTTTCCTGCCTGCGCTTCCTCGGCTCGGGCCTGAACTTTGGCTTTTCCAGAGGTTTTCTGTCCCCTGGGTGTAATGACGGGTTCTGCGATGTGCTTCCATATGGAAGGAGCACCAGGATAGTCCTGTAATGTTTGACACTGCTTAAACACTTGGAATACCTGTCGCGCAAGTGTCAAATACCGCTGTGGCATGTAAGGGGTTGGAAATTTTCTGTCATGCCAGTTGAGGACCTTTAGACTCCAAAGTTTGTCCCTTTTTTGTTATCACCTGGAAGTTACTTTACTTTCTGCTCATTTCAGGTAACCTTCCTATGTGACCTCAAATACTCCTGTCAATCGACTGGCTTTTCCAGATATATTTTCAGAATTTTAGTTGATAAACTCCCTTCTGCCCCCCCTCAATCAGTTAAATTTATTAGTGGATGAATAGTATTTGTGTTTTCCTTAGGTTATAGTTGTTATGTTTTTGTTTCAGTTCATGAAAAATGAAAGTGGAACTCACAAGGCTAAAAGTGAGCAGGACTAAGAAGCTCCTCCTTGATGGGAATAAAATGTAGAAACTGCCTTGTACCTTGGAGTTCATGCATTGCTGCAGGTTTCCAGATGAGGTGACAGTGTCATTTAGTAGTCACCAAAGTATTCCTACCTATGGTTAGAAGAATGTGTACAATTACAGTGCCCAAAGAGATCATACACCTGTAATTATTGTACAACAACTGTGTTAATGTTTCCGGGGGAATTTATGGGAAACAACTTTAATACAGGGAAAATGTCATGTTTTTTACATTATTAGTTTTGTTTGTTTGTTTTGCTACCTCTCCAATACTTATAGTCATTGCTTGTTTTCTGAAAGGAATTGTTGTTGAGTGATATGATTTGATACTTATGGATCATTCCATTCACATGAGTTCACGTTCAGTGTTATGCAACAGCTCTATAATGTTCCTGCTTTTCTCTTGTCCATAAGCTGTTTCCTAATGCTGTTGAGTGGTAGCAACTGTCATTGTCTTGGGAGGGAAAAAAAAATGAACAGAGAGAAGGGCTGTTTCGTAGCTTGGCATCCCAAAGAAGCAAAGGTTGGGAAACTCAGTCTTGTGCATGACTACTGGCTCTTCTCCCTTAATAGCTTTTGAATCCATTGATTGATATTAATTAAATTTGGCTGTGGAGTTAGAACACTTAACATTAAGCTTGCACAAGTTCTTTAAAATCAGGAGTTACTAAAGTAAGGCAGAGACCTTTTCAGTGACCTGATTGGGTGAAAAGACAAGGAAGATTCAGCCCTACACACTATGTTGAAAGGCAGCAGCTACTGTCTGGTCAGCACATGCTACTTGGAAATAGAGACACTGAAGGGAAGGAATTGAGGGTACGGGATATAAATCACAAGAAAACAAACTTCCCTAGATGTGCTACTTTTGAAGTGATGTAAATGAAATTGGGACAGATTTTTGTATGAAGAGAGTTTTGAGTGGTTTCTCTCATTGAACAACAAACGGTACTTTTTCCTGGTAATACGTTGACTTCTAAAAGACGTTGTTCTCCTATTCCTTCTTTCTTCCCAGGAGAGCATGCTGCAGTCCGGGAGAAGAGTTTTATTTTGTTACTTTGATCCAGTTTGGAGCTACCTACAAAAAAGCCAAAAGGGGGAACGATTAGCAATTTGTGTATTGCATTGCTTAGAGGAGTTTCAAATTTGCGCTGATCACTGAGCTTTCTTTCAAACATCGCCAGTTTGCTTGTGTCTCTGAATCCAAATTCAGTGCCAAATATACCTGTGCTAGCTTTCAGATAGTTATTCCCTTTTTTTGGGGGGTAGCACTCAATCTAGAAAACAAAATTTGGAGCTCAATACAGACTGTGAAATCAGCATGAGAAACTTGTATTTGCACAGTAGTCTGCTGTGGCTCAGCTGCTGCTGTTCCCTGGGAAACCTTGTCCACAGCTAGCTCAGGTGTGCTACAGTTATTGTAGTTGTTTCTGTGTGTTGTCTTGGACGTGGATTTTGGGCTAAATTTGAATCAATAATCACTCTTAACTTAAGGCATTCTCCCTCTCAGGTCCCCTGGGCTATCTGGTTTCTTTGATGTATTATGCTTTTAAGTCTGCTTCTCCTACAACTAGACATAAGGTCAAACTTTATAATTTCAAATGTTGAAGTGTATGCCGAAGTTGTTAGAAGTGATTTTTTTATCTGATGTGCTTATCAGGGCTGAACTGGTACAGACATTCACAGGTAGTATTTGCCATCTCCTCACCAAAATTACCTCTTACAGGTTCTGTCGTCTTTGTTGTATTTATGCGTAAGTTTTTACAACTTCCTTTTTAGATTGGTTTACAGATGTGGTTGGAAGGTGCTTTGCTGCTTCAGATTTACTGAGTTGTTTCTCATTAGTAGTCTGGTGTATGAATAATGGTTATAATAACCCTAATAATACTTTGCAAATGGTGTGTTGCTCTCCTTGCAATAGATCCTCAAAGATCTTTTCTTTGAGATATAGGTTCATTTCTACATAGTTTATTCCTGTATTTTTTTTCTTTACTCTTTTTCTCATATGATTCACTGATGCAAAATTAACATTGGAGGAAGATTTATGGCTTAAGTCTACATAGTTAATGAACATAACTATTTCAAACTATTTCATGTGTACAAGCATGTGGAATTCTGCCTGTGATGATAAGCATCAGTGAATATTTCGGAATCTGAAATGTTTATAGTAAAATTAACTGTTGGGATCAAAGCGGAATCCTATACAACTATGTAAGACAAGCCCATAAAGTCTAGTTATGGTCCATTATTTACTTGTTGTTTCTTATTCACAATGGACAACTGCATGGATAAGCCTTCAAAAGGATTTTGCTTGAATCTGAAGTTTAAGTATTTGTTGTGGCATTTGTGTTTTTTCTATCACAAATCTCCTTTTTTTATTCTGCTGGACTTTAAAGTCATATATCACTGCATTTGTGCTCAAAAGAGTCAAACATCACATGTCATCTTGAGTTCATGTTGTCATGTTGAGAGAAGGTTGTACACACAGTGTTATGGCTACTGGCTGATGTAACAGACTGGTCTTTT